GATAGAAAGAGAGAGCTAGATACATAGATAGATAGGCGGATAGATAGATAGATAGGTAGGTAATTAGCTAAATAGATGGATAGATAGGTGGATGGATGGATAGATAGATGGAAAGAGGTATATAGATAGATATATAGATAGGCGGATAGATAGATAGATAGGTGGATGGATGGATAGTTAGATAGAAACAGATAGATAGATAGGCGGAAAGATAGATAGATAGGTAGTTAGGTAGATATATATAGAGATAGATAGGTGGATAGATGGATAGATAGATGGAAAGAGATAGATAGATAGGCGGATAGATAGGTAGGTAGTTAGATAGATATATAGATAGATAGGTGAATGGATAGATAGATAGATGGAAATAGATAGATGGATGGATAATAAGACAGATAGATAGATAGATAGATAGATAGATAGATAGTTAGGTAGATAGATAGAGAGAGAGAGAGAGCATGCAAGCAAATGTTGGTGGCCAGCACAGGCCCGTTTCGCAGGTGCCGGTACGTCGAGTCCTCGCCGGAGAGGGGGACTCGAGGCGAGGCGATGCGAGTCGAGTCGTGTCGGCTGCGAAGCGGGCCGTGGCCGGTCGCCAAGTCGTGAGCAGACAAAAGCCGGTTCCAGTCCGACCGAGACCAAGACCGGGAGCGGGATCGGGACGGGGACGGGTTGCTCGCCTACCGAGGCTCGAGTCCGCGTCTCGACGAGCTGCGCCAGCGGTTGGGCGTCCCAAATGTGCCCGAAGTAGGTGGCCCAGTTGAGCGCGTGCCAGTGCGCGATGCGGCGCAGCACCTGCCCCACCGTCTCGGTGACTGAGCGCTCCGGGTCCAGGCGGAACGGGGCTGCCGAAAAAGAGGCAACACAGCGCGACTGTCAAGTCAGACTCGATCCGACCTCCAGACATTGTTTAAAGCCTCACTCGCCATTTATACCATTTATCATTTATAGCACTAAGTCACTATCAATTGTATTAATATTATTGTGTTTCTTTCATTTCATCTAAAGTGATGAAGCAACGGAAAGTTGGGTCTCGAGGAGTCTCTTCTTTCATCATTTCGAGTGAAATTGTGCGTTAAAGAGATTCAAAGTTCGCTTCCACCAGAAGACTCGTCAGCCTGAATTTGCTTGTGATGATGATACTTTGTCTGCGATGATATTCGTCCTGTGACGGACGAAAGTTGAAAAAGATTGCCTCGGAAACAGCGTCAGCATGAATGTTCCAGTAAAGCCAATCGACAGCTGGTCAAGAGGACTCCGTCGCTGGTCGTCTTCTGGTGGAGCCGACCTTCGAATCTCTTCACTCTTCGACACTTTCACTCGAAATGGAGGTGAGCTCAACAATTATGAAGCAAGAGATAGCATAATTTTAGTAGACAGAAAATTTCTTAATGTCTCGAATGTGCTCGAATCCATGAAGGGCTTCTGATTTGACAGGAATAAGCATTATTAGTATTATCTGTGTCGAGTACGAGTAGGTTGAGTATGATTTTTTATGTAAAGATTTGTTGAAGCAGATTGCCTCGGAAACAGCGTCAGCATGAATGTTCCAGCAAGGCCGGTCAAGAGGAATCTGGTGGAGCCGACCTTCGGATCTCTTCACCGCACACTTTCACTCGAAATGGAAGTGGGCTCAACCAAAGAGTGGTGAAGGATCGGCGCTCCATTGTACGTGTGTTGTGCGCATGCAATGCTCGTGAGTCTCGTCGAGTGTAAAAGTAAAATATATGAAATATATATTCGCCCTATTTTGTTGAATTCCCCCACAATCATGTGATTTGAGCACAGGTCCTTTCAACAGCCCAACCGGGAGTCGAACCGTGACAGTGCAGCATGTTAGCTGGACACACCAACCACTCGGCAACATTGCCACATGTGCTTTGGGGTCACATGACAGGCGTCAAATTGAAGGATGGTCAAGCCTTTTCCAGATCACATTTTCTGTTGGGATTGTCGACGAGGCAAACTTAGATTTGCTAAGGCAATCGACGGCATTACTTCTTTCGAGACTGCCAGTAAATCAGATGCATGAGTTGAATGCTAAACTGCCTAGTCACTTATTGGTATTTCATTTCTCATTTATTTGTTATTAGTTAACATCATTCAAAAAGTCATTTGTTATTTGAACATTGAAGGAGTAAGCTTCAAGTTGCATTCATGCCTGAACGAGTGTTGGTGAATTTTCTCGCCAAGCCGTTAGTAGGACAAAGGACTTTGTTGTACATTCGAAGAGCGAGATGATGTGATTTCGGCCGTTGCGTGGACTTGCTCCGAGGCTGGGAATTGTCATGGTACTACCGCATCAAGACACACTTTTGTAGGGACAAATTGTAAAAGGGTTTCAATGTCTTCTTTATGATATTTCTCATTTAAGTAGTAGGTTTTCGAGAATAATCACTAAATCAAACACATAAATGGTGTTCACTCTGTTTCGTTAAATGTGATGAAGGAGGGGTAGTTGAATTCTCCAACACTGGGATTAAATTAACAGGGAACGTCACGTCTAGTCATATGATTGTGGGAAAAAACAACTCCCAGTCCGTCAGCCTAACTAA